CACCACCACCACCACCACCACCACCACCACCACCACCACCACCACCACCACCACCACCATCATTTTGAGACAGGATTTCAATATGTAGGCCTGACTAGCCTGGGATGCTCTGTGTGTACTGGACCCACAACCACCTCACCAGAGCTCCAGGATGAAAGGTTGCACTGTCCCGCTGTGCTTCTCAATGTCATTGATTGGGCACATTATCCCTTCTTCACAGATTCAAATAGACTTGTTCTGATTAAAATTCTTCTGGTTTTCCTGTTTGCATTTATACTTCAGTAAATGTGTGTGCGTATCCTTTGCTGCAGCCATCTGTTATTGCCTGGAAAGCACACGGTGTATGTTGAAGCTAGAAATTCTTTTTTGTTAATTCTGCTGTACATGTCTCCTCCCAGTTCTCTCTCTCAGGATTGGTTGTCATAGTCTTTCTTCTGCCATACTGAAGCTTTTAACTTTTCTCTAGTCACTTTTCTTATGGTTTCTGAATTGGTTGTATCCAGAAAGACTTGCCTTAAGCTAAGGTCAGGGGCATCGCCCCTACTGTTTGCTTCATTCTCTTCCACCTTCAATTCTAGTTAATCTATATTTACGTCGGTGTACTAAACTGCCACCTCAACTAATGCCTCAAAGAATTATGCAATAACCTCACTATTGTGTATTGAAGAACATTTATGTTCTTATTTGAACAGTTCCCTTCATTGTGCCTAAATTTGTAGCATGGACCAGGTCTTAGTTTATGGCCAGATTACTTCCTTGCAGTCCTGGAGGAATCCAAGTCCCCACCGCTGCTGATTCTCTTCACTTGCTGATAACAGCTGCGGGTGAAATTCCTTTCTGCTGGTTGGTGGGTCTCCATGCTCAGCATCAGCTACACCTTCCCCTGGGCCCCGCAGTTTCCACTTTTGTGAGAGTGGTTTCAGTCTTCTCCACAGTCACCTGCAGATAACTCACTGTCTACCTGAAGCAAAAATAGAAATTCTATTGGAACTTTCTCAGCTTCTACCCACCTCCCAGTCCTTCTTTTCCAAAGAGCAGTAATCACTGAGCCTGAGTGCTTGCCAGGGCCAGGCACTATTTTATTCACTTTGCACATGCACAATACCCCTGCATACTGGACTCTAATCTTACCTTCAGATAACAGGCTTTCTGCCTGAAGCCCTGTGAGTCCTAAAGCCTCAAAGCTGAATTCTGACTCCTGATGGTGCCTTCAGACTCCAAGTTGCTGAGTTCATCTCCATGTTTTCCTTTGCAGCCTTGCTTCTTTTAAATGCCTTGCTTTAATATCCTCTAATGTGGTCATAAACCCATTATTTTCTCAGCAGAACAGAGTCAACGGTTCTGCAAATACTGCGGTCTCTTCTATGTGTTAGAGCTATTTTGGAACACAGTAGGAAGCAAAATCAGGCATCCCCTCTGCCTTCCTAAAACTGAAATGAAAGTCTTTGGGGGCCAACAGAAATTGACCAAAGAATTACTCGAAAGCACATGCTATACCAAAGCAGAGGATCATAACTCCATGGCAGTGGATCATAAAGGCTTGAGACTAGGGGTGAGAGTTTAGCAGAGAGCCCTCTTGAGAGATTAAACAATAAGCAAATGAGCTGAGACCCAAGCATAGGGATGAGTTTCTCAGGCACAAGCTGTGTGGTGAGAGAAAGGTCCGGAAAGTTTCTAGGGAGATGTTAGTTGTCATGGACCCCTCTGCAGTCTCCTCCCTGGCTCGGTCCATAGCTGTCCAGCTTGTGGTCATGAAGTGATGGACCTTGGGCCTGAATAGTTAGAAGGTAGGCAGTCCAAGGTTAGCTTTCCATCTACAAGTGTAATTGGTAACTGCCCATACGTGATACCAAATGGCAGCATTTGAGTATCACTCGACTTTTGGGGTATCTGTACCTTTTATTAGGAGAGCCCTGGTATCTTCAGTGGAGGGAGGCAGGATATCAGTCTATGAGGCAAGCCTGACTTACCATGTGTATGGGAGCGCCCTCCTTTCTCTTGCCTCATATTTTTAGATTCACCTCGTTACATAGGTATGTCCAACCTGTGGCCTGTGAGTGACAGGTGTAACTACAATCCAACACAAAATTATTACTTAATTAAAACACTGTGTGATTAAAAAAAAACACAATACTTTTCATTCTTGAGACTTTCATACATGTATAAAACAGCATCATATAAATCTCCTGTATTCTCCTACAAATAAGGCCCTCTCCAAAACCCATGTCCTATTATTTTTTGCTAATCTCCTTAGTCCAGTTAGTGCTGCTCATATATTTCCAAATGTGGTGCCACCCCCTGGACCATATGGAAACTCTCAATGGCCACACAGCCGTAAAAGGATGATTCTCCCTCTCACGTTTTTATAACCTGATTGTATAGTTCTGGATTATCTGAGGATGATAAAGTGTTGGTATAATGTTCTTTTGAAATGTATACACCTTACCCTTGTTCATTCAAATGCTGATTTCCCCCCCAAACACTCTCTGGTTTCAATCCAGATATTGCATTGTGATACTTATTCTAAGCATCACCTGTGTCAACTTTGCATAGACATCCAAAATAAAACAACCAGCCACAATGTTGAGCAATGGAGAAGAAGGAGTAGGCAGGAGAGGGGAGGAGCCAGAGGACAGGAAAAGAGTGGGAGGCAAAAGGGCAGGGTCAGAGCTAGGAGAATAGAGCTGGAGGACAGATCTTGGAACTACGTGGAGAATGAACCAGACCTAAGATGTCACAAAAAGCAAGTATAATGGGTAAAATCTAAATGTTAGGAAACTATGAGGGCTTGGAGGTCTAAGAGGGAGTAACTATTGCCCAGCATTGTGTTCTAGGTTAACTAAATAAACCCAGTCTCTCTGTGGTGATTTGGTTATACAGCTGTTTAGGATTAACAGCAAGCATTACTAAAAGATAATTATTAGTAAATATTAATCTACACCTACAACAATAAAGTGGTACTGTAATGTCAAAAGCTTGGACACACCTGTTAGAGGGACACTCCCAGGCTCCGGCTTTGCCTGATCATCCTTCTTGAGTGGCCTGAATAGAAGCTGACATCCATTGGCCCACATTTCTCCATCTCTACCCTCCTTCTTCTTTCCCAGCCCGGACAGGCAGCAAGCTGCCATCTTGGCTAAGCATCGGTCCATTGGTTACCTGCACTCTCCTTGCATGGCTCTCCCACGGTCTGGCTGGGGCAGCATGGAAGTGGTATACAGGGAAAGCTGGTATGCCCATCTGACCATAAATCTAAGGAGACATTTCCTGATCACCTTGTCAGCAAAAAAGCTAACGTGTTAAGTCTCTACCCGTCTCTCTCATGCACCCTGTGTTTATCAGCTGGCTTTGTGCTTGGGGGAGAGGAAAAGAGTATTATGTTCTGGTCACCTTAAAGAGCCTTAGGATTTGGGTGCTAAATCAGCCTCCCAGATTCTTAGGCAGTGGAGGCCTCTTAGGACCCAAGGATCACCACCCTTCCCTCCTCCCTTTGCTTGTTTAGGAGCACACTGCGGGGGAAACATGGAGACCTCAGTGCCAAGCTCCAGTATCATGTGTGAAGCTAATTTCCGAAGCACATTCGATTTCAAACAAGGCCAACGCTCGTTACCACCACACAGAGGCTCTACCCTTTGTGCACAGCCTTGGGTCATGCAGGGCTCTGGGGTTCACCTGCAGGTACGTGGGAGCTGTGGCCGGATGCTAGAATCCACATCGGACACAAAGCATCCAAAATCATTCTGGCTGGGTTGCAGCCTTGAGCACACAACTTGATCACTCAAGGGGACTCGAAAGGCACTTGTGTAACTTTTCCTTAAAAAGTGTGAACAGACATCTGTCTGTTTATTCACTCCAGATAGGGCACCAATGACAGACCGGAGACCTGATTCCATGCAAATGTAGTGGGGGACCAATGAGTGTGTTGGAGTCACTGATGGGAACATGGGTGATCCAAAGGCCTGCCCTCGTGTGAGTGACAGGTCACAGAAGCCGCATCCCTGAGCTCTCTGCAGAACTTCCCAGCCTCTCCCACTGGAGGGGTTCCTCTGTCAGCACTTATTAACTGGGGGGAGGGGAGGAGGAGCCCTGTGAATCCAGCCTCTCTCATTAGCTTCCTAGTCCCTGTAAACTTCACCAAGCTTATAAGCTTCCCTCCCTCCAGGAGGCAATTATGATGGTTCGTGCCCAACTGTCAACCTGACAAAACCTGGGATCGCCGGGGAGAAGGGCCACGGCACATGTCTTTGGGGAATTATCTCGATTGTGTTGATTGAGGCGGGAAGACCCACCCTCACAGAAGATCTTCAGCTGTCTGAAGAAGAGAGAGCTTGGGCCGAGCGCTGTAAGCAAGCATCCACGGCCCTCCTCAGACTGCAAGCATAGTTGTGACCAATTGCTTCAGGCTCCCGTTGCCTTGACTTCCGTGTCATCAGAGACTATAACTTTGAACTGTGACCTAAAAACAAAAACAAAACTCCTCCACTACAAGTTGCTGTGCTGAAAGCATTTTATCACAGCAACAGGAAAGAAATAAAGGGATGATTCAGTTCAGAGGAAATAGGCCTAAAACAGCTTGCCATGGGCAGATGTGACCCATTCCTGCTCAGTGTTTGTCTGCAGGCCCCGGAGTTCTTACAGTTCGCCTGGCCCGGCTGTGGTGGCCTGGGAGGTACGGTCTGCTGCAGCCATTTTCCTGGAACAGCAGGGCCGGCTTTAATCCAACAGCTGGTTTCCCACAAAAGGAGAGCAGGACACAGTCCCTGAGTGACAGCAAAGGAAGAGTGACCCTTGTTAGTTACCAGGTAGAGGCGTGGGTGGCACGGGCCATGGATTAGGAATCGCACAGAAACCTTGATGGGGGGGCTGTTTCGGCCCGGACTGTCTTTGAGCTTCTACACGCCTCTTTGCATTGATGGGTTGTTGTGTATGGGAGAGATTGGGAAGGGGGTTGAAGGTGATTGCTTGGCATCTAGGGCCACATACTTGGGAGTAACCATTGTGCAGAACTAGGTTCTTGGTGATTTTCAGTGCCTTGTGCTAGTACACCAGGGGAGGACACAGACACAGCAGCAAGAATGGCTGGCATCTTGGAGCTCTTAAAGTGTATAAACATTTCACTGCAGCATTATAGTCTGGATGGCTCTTGGTTTGGTTGCAGAACAGAGCTGCTGGTGATGGGGCCGAGGCAGCGTCAGAGCTGAAAACCACTCAGAGGAGAAGCAACCCCAACGTAGTCCTTACTTTCTTGTGGTTGTCACTGTGCTGGAATACCCGACAGGCATCTTAAGGGAGGAAGGAGCTATTTTGGCTCCTGGTTTGAAGGTGTACATGGCAGGGTACGTCAGTGTGAGAATGATACTGTTCACTCACACCTCTCTGAAACCAGGTAACACAGAGAGGAAAGGAAACAGGGCCAGGCTAGAAACCCCAAGGACCACCTCCTGATCACCCACTTTCTCCAAGTGGGCCCCACCTTCCAAAGGTTTTACAAGTTTCCCAAAGAGACCAATTGTCTAGACGTGGAAGAGTATTGGGGATAGTGAAAATGCCTCTGGCCTCTGCATAAACGCTGTTATGCCCACCAACCTAAGGCGGCAGGAAGGAAGGAACTCGGGACTGGGGGCAGGGTTATGTGGCTGGTTGGGAGCGTCTCCTAAAGCAGTGGTCTGAGGGAGGCCTCTCATGTCTCTGTCTTGCTGCAGAAGCAGTTCCACCTCAAAAGAACTTTCTGGAGGGGCCGAGGGAGCCCCGCGCTGGCTCCGGTTTGCAAGTGTCAACCAGAAAAGCACAAAGTTGACAAGTTATCTGGACGCCTCCCCGGCTGTGACTGCTGAGGCTTCTGATAACCCCAGGATTCCCAAGGACCCCTGGAATTCTTTCTTGTCAGGAAAACACACCCCTCCGTGCTCTGGAGGACCTAGGGGCCTGATGTTTCTGGACCGGTACCAAGCACACTCAGGTTCACATTCAGGTTCAAGATTGAGCTCATTCTCAAAGCCAGAGAAGATAAAAGAACGGGAGAAATATTCCAAATGGGCAGCTGTGTCTTGGCTTATCTTTATTTATTTTAAAAAGACTTATCTTGGATACCGGAGCTTAAAATTTTCAAGTCTGCTGTGAGGCTCTGGCTTGGACTCTGGTGTGCAAAGAACACATGCTGGGAGGCTGTAGTACCAGGGAGGGAGGTCATCTTATGGGGTGTGAGGGAGCCGTGACTGTGGGACTCCCGAGACCTTCATCATCTGTGACCGGGATGCTGTGTGACTGGAGGGCCGCTGTCAAGAAGGCTGAGCTTAAAAACAGACGGGGACATCGAAATGACAGTGTCAAACACTGGGAAAAGAAGCCTGTTGTCAGGAAGCACGGGCTGGCACAGTCACGCCTTCACTTTCTTCTGTCTGTTCCCTGGACACCACTCAGTCCTTTACTCGATAGGTACGGGGGGACCCCCAGTGCCCACTGGGTCTGACTATCCATTTCAACTTCTGAATTTAGAGTTAAATTCATAATGTGTTTGCTCAAGGGTCACCGTTATCCAGTGTGTTTACTTTGAAAAAAAAAGGGGGGGGGAGCTGGAGGAAGTTACCCTTTCGGTTTAAGCTCTGCTCAGGGTCGAGAAATAGAAAGCCCCACTCAGACGAGCTCAGATATTGAGGAGATTTATTGACTCTCAGGACTTGAAGAGCAGAGGTAGCAGGGTGGGCTGCAGAGCTGCTTTGATTTGGTGGCTTAGTGAGCAAGCGATGAACAGTGAGTGTTCTTAGCTTTTCCGTCTGACTCCATTCTCTCTGGACACGACCCTAGTCAAACCTGCCCGCTCATCGCAGCAAGATGGCTGCCTTCACATGCATACCTGGGCTCCCTGAAGGATGAGTGAGCTCTCTTCCAAGAGTGCTGTCAGGAAGGAGAGAAAGCACTTGTCTTTTTCAGAAGCCTCTCACTTTGTGTCCCAAATGGTGAACTGAGGATACGCGCCCAAGGGGGATGCTGCAGTTGACTGTATCAGTCAGCGGGAGTGGTTGTCCTGGTTGTCCTGGTTGTTGTGGACCAAAGAGCCCACACCTAGAATTCAAGATCGAATGGCTGCTTCACGGATGCGAGTGGGAAGGAGTGGGGATGGAGAGCAGTACCATACCCTCCCTGGCACACCCAGCAGGCGGCCCCTCAGCTTTCAGTCTTTTGGGATGGACGGAAAGACGTCAGGTAAAGGGTGGTACAGTAGGGCATCTGTGGCTTTGGCATAGGAATTGCTCCCATCTCCAGTGCCCCGAGTTGCAAGGCCAGCTGTTCCTACCGAGCACAGGAGGGCGAGGGAATGAGCTTTCAGCGATCACAGAGGTGCCACTATCCCTCTCTCTAGGCTTATCTCAGGGCTCACCTCACAGAGATCATTCATAGGTCAGTGACTACAAGGAACTGGATTAATAAAATGCCTAGAGGGGAAGGAGGAGATCTTTAAGATACTTCGTTTTGGACAGTTGTGGTTCCGGCCTGGCTGTCCTTTTTGTACATGATATGTTTTGTTCATAGTCATGTGTTGTGGTTAATTTGATGGTCAACTTGGCACATCCTAGAATCATCTGGGAAGACAGCCTCAGCGACAGACTGTCTAGGTCAGGTTGGCCTGTGGGCGTGTCTCCAGGAGCCTGTCATGATTGCTTTAATTGATGTGGGAAGATCCAGTCTGAAAGTGGGTGGCACCATTCCCTGCTTCGGAGCCTGGACTATAAGAGTGGAGAAAGCTCGCCCGACACTAAGCTTGCAGACACCCACTGTCTGCTACTGTGGCTCTGATACCACACCTCCTTCAGGCTCCCACAATGATGGGCTGTGATCTGGAACTGTAAGCTAAAACAAACCTCCTCTCCCTTGAGTTGCTTTATCACACCGATAGAAATGAAAGCAGAGCACTATGTTTGGGAGGAAGCTTCCCTCCCGCGCCTATTTTAGCACCTGGGGGACTGAGATGCCCTTGGAGCTTATACATTACCTGCCGAGGGTCGAGGGTCGGGGTCTCACCTGGCTTGTCATGTGTCCTGTGAGTAAAAGCCCTTGAGTCATCATAAGCATTTTACAGGATTGCCTGCCCTGATTTGTGCCTTACCCTGTTGGTCAATCAAAGAATGCAATTCAGCCACCTGAAAACAAGGATCAGTTAGGCTGGGGGGAAGTGGCTCCAGGGAAGAAGGTTTGTCTAGAGTATTTGAAATCTTGGGTTTAATCCAAAGCACCATGGGAGGTGGGGGAGGGGAAGGTGCAACAAAATAATGATAGATGCAAACTGGTATGTTAGTCTTCTCTCCTGCTCTTTTCACGCTGATTACATTAGAAGAAACATCCTCAGTTGGTAACCATGGTAACTGCCTCATTGTTTTTTGAGCCCACCATCCAGCAAATGCTACAAGGCAGAGGCTCAGTAATTGTGGAAAGGACAGGGAATTGAAGAAAAGGAGAAAGCAGGGGTTTCTAATACAGTTTCTTTGCTTAGAGGGGCTATTTCTAGGCTTGTCATTTACCCTGATTCTGGCTTTTAAAATGGGTGCTCTCAGAACTTGGTGTGATGGCACACATATATCCTAGCTCTAGGGAAGCTGAGACAGGATGATTTAGAGACTGAGGTTAGCCTGGGCTAGTGACCCAGATTCTGACGCATAACAAACGAGTGCTGGAGAGGCTGCTCAGTCTTTACTGTGCTCGCTGCCCAGACAGCAACCCTGAGGACCTGTGCTCTGCCTAGAATGCTTCCTTATAAAGCCTGGTACGGTGGTGCTCACCTACAGTCCCAGCACTGGGTGAGAGGGGACAGGCAGATCTTGGAACTTGCTGGCCAGCCAGTCTAGCCCAATCTGAGAGCCTTAGGCCAGTGAAAGACCCTGCTTCACAAAACAAGTGATGGCTCTTGAGGAAAGACACTGACCTTTGGCCGTCATTTTAACCAATTGCCCCCCGCCCCCCCCCGCCCCCGCCAAACAAACACCAACAAAACTTGGAAACTCTTTAAATTGTTTTAAAAAAAATTTTTCATCCATATTTAGTGTTTTTTCTTTAAATGTAGTCTGTTGATTGAGTGGAGATTGGCAGAGCAAAGAAAGAGCACCTGGCCCTCTTCTCTTGCTTTTCTCTTAAATATCCACGAAGATTCACCAACAGAAAGACAATTGGTGCCAGCTAAAGGAACAGGATGGGAAGGGAGCGTGTCAGAGCCTGGGATGGGAGGACTGGTTTTAAGCACAGCTCTGATGGGCTGGATTAGCGGCTAATTCCTCTGGGCCTCTTGGTGTAAAACAACACTGACTAAGTGAGAAGCAGGCTTGGCATCCCTGCCGGCTCCCACCCTAGGCTTTGCAGCAGGACTGACGGACTGCGCTTTCTTGGCAGTGCCTGGCCTCAGCTTCTCAGTTCGTCCCTGCCATCCCTGCCAGAGATCACAGAGGCAGTGGGAAGACAGCCCTGGGCTGTGGGCCTTGCCAGAGCTGAGTACAGGAGCCAGCTCACACATCTCTCCTTGCAACTTCCCTGAGGCTTCAGGAACAGGCTGGATTTAACCCCAGAAGCTGTTCTGCTTTTCCACCCCTGAGTTTTGAAACAATATTTTGCTTGTGGGTGTAGGGGGTATCTTAGGCCCAGGCATGCCGCATGGAGCCTCTGCCTACTGCCGGAAGACGGGGATGGGGCTGTTTAGAAAACAGGCTGCATATGTGACTGAAGGGAGGGGACAGAAGCATCCTCTGAAACACCCTGACTGGAGGCTTTTAAGTACCCAGGGGTCGGGCAGGGCCTTTTCCACTCCTGGTTTCATTTCAGTAACTCCTACTGCATGGATCGCCTGCTGTCACACAACAGGTGATCTGAAGAGAGTGGCCAATAGAAGTAATTCCAGCAGGTCCGTGTTGAACTGTTATTAAACAACCATTTTCTCTGTGACAAGAAAACAAAACAAAACAAAAACCAGACCATGAAATCAGTAAAGAATGCTACGCTTGAGAAAGTCTAATCTTCAGACCTACAGAGCTAACCCCTCTCAGCTGTGTGACAACGAGGGTCCTGGTCAGTGAGCGGGCTGAGGTCTTAGAGGCCACATTTCTAGCAGCTTCGAACAGGGCACTTTGAAACTTGCTCTGTGGGTAGCCGAGACTGAGTCGGCTTAGGAGGAGCTACATGAAGGAAGTTGCATTTCTGTTCCCACCTCTTAGGACCAAGAAGGACAGCCGACATCCCATGAGATACATACAGAAAGTGTAAGGAGGGGTGGGCAGGGAGGGAGTCAATTACTTTATACATTAACAAAGTAATTGGCTTTCCTCCTGGCCCTGCCGGTCTCTCTATGGTGGCTGTAACTGCGTGTGTGTGTGTGTGTGTGTGTGTGTGTGTGTGTGAGACATGTATATTTTGTTTTAAATATAAAGGACATGGTGTTGGGGGCAGGCTTGCTATCCAGAAACAAAAGCTTTTCATCATGAATTGATTAAAGGTAAGCCTTGGTCTTAACCTAGATCCGTCTAAACTGAACAGCTGGAGAAATCCCAGTTTGGAAAATGATTGCCAAATGTTGCATAGCCTCCCTGACCATGGTGATTCTCCAATTTGGTCAGAATTCTTCTGTGCTCGGGACAGATGGATGTTTGGGAAATCGCTTTGCTTCACTGAACACCGAAGACCCTGGGACTCCGGCATGATTATTACCCAAACCGCTGCTAATGAACACTTCCAAATTATGACTCATCCTCCAAGCTGACTCTTCACAACCTCTGCTTAGCTGTACCCGGCTGGATCACTCCTTTTGTCATCTGACTTGCAGACGGGTGCCTGATCTCCTTTGATATACTGTACATGACATGCTAACAAACCCTTCTCTTTAATCAAAGGAATCAGACGTATGCCACTGTCAGAAGCCGGGTGGGGCCGGCCTGGAGCAGCTGTGTTCCTGCAGGTCAGATGGAATGAGTGGATTTGGTGCACACACTTGGCATAATCTTGAAAATCAACCCTACGATCTCATTTTAAAACAAAACCTCATATTTTTTTCACATGGCAGAGGCGTTCGTAGCCAGCAGCTTTTTAGCAGCAAGAAAACAAAAGTCCTGAGATAACTTTTCACAAATGCACATAGGAGTGCCACCTTCGTGTTCAGAAACTCTTGAGCTTGAGAAGAACTGAGCCACCTCCTTCCAGATGCCTAAAGAAAACAAGGGCCATGGAGAGGGCTTCGAGGGCAAAGGTATTTGTTGCCAAGCCTGAGCTCTGAGTTCAATTCCTGGGACCCAGATGGTAGAAGAAGAGAACCAACTTCTGCAAGCTGCCTCTGACCTCCATCTGCACTATGGGACAGGCACACATTCTCCCCCACCCCACTTCCTCTCTGCCCACACACCCCATGGATTAGAACATCTTTATAGATCAAGACAACCAACCATACAACTGACCTCCCCGCAAGCATTTGAAGGTTGGAGTGCCGGCTGCACAGCCACCGTGGAATGGAAACCAGTCTGCCTTCTCTCCTAACAGCTCTGCAGGGCTGT